AGTACTTACCTTAATAGAAAAAAAAAATTTTCTTAGCACAAAAACTAATAGATAGTCTTGTATTATCAATATTGTACTATAAATAAAGTATAATCTTTGCCTTTTTATAAACTTTGTAATGAACTACTACAGTAAAGTAATATTTTATTTGAATTTTATTGAAAGCCTTTTTTCTATATCTTATATTATTTATATTATATTAAGAAGGCTATATACTTATAATATTTTGGTATCTTCTAGTAAAAAACAAAGAAATATTCTTAGAAGAATAATTAATTAAAAAAGCTCTAAAGAAACTTTTCTTAAAAATTTAAGAAGCTTCTCTTTCTTTCTTTGACAATTCTTAAAGAAGTCTCTCTTAGAAACCTAAGAAACCTCTCCTTTTTCTTACCAATTACAATCTATATTACACTTGATCTATATTATATAAATACTGAAAAAAGATTTATAACTTCTAGAATAGATCTATATTATATTATTATATAAAAAAAGAAAAATTATTTTATATTATCATGAACTAAGGAGAATCTATTTTATATTATACAGATTTTTCAAAGTTGAACCTAGACCCAAAATATATCTATTTATGACTATCTATTACTAAAAGAAATAATAGTTACTAGAAAATACTCTACTAGACAAACTTAGTAAGAAAGACTACTGAATGCTTTTGTATTAGTTATATCAGAAAAACTAATAGCTTACTATGATCTTTAGATTTCTGAAAAACAAGTACTCTATGAATCAAATTTGTAAGTATAAAAACTTTAATTTTAAAAACTAGCAACTTATTATAATCTTCAAGAATAGAAACCTCTAAAAGATAAATATTCTACAAGCTAAAGTATAAATATAAAGACTCTAATTAGCTAATAGCTTATTGTGAATCTTAACATAGAAAAGTTAAGGTTAAGTACAGATTATCTACGAGCCAAAAAAGTAAATATAAGTAATCCCAAACTCTAATCTGAAGTCTCAGATATCTTATAACCCAAAGTATAAAAGTAAAGTATCTTACTACCTACTGTCCCAGTTATATGATTTTTGTTTTTATTTTTCAATTTAAGGTTAGAGTTAAAGCAAGTAAAATCACATTCTCGATATTTTTTATTAGTGCTTTGATATAGGTTTAGATGGCTGTTTTTTGTATATTTAGTGTTTTTTGTTTTATATATATATTTACTTTTGGTCAGAAGATCAATTTTCACACTTTGATTGGCCGTTAGTCATGTGTTCGTTGTAAAGGGCCAATTTGACCCTCCGGAAAATACTGCGCTTCAACGTAGTACAATGTCTTATTTTTAGTTGGAAAATTCTTGTTTAGTTTTTAGGGCTTTACAAGATATTTCCTGTTTCTTGATTAAAGATCATCCAGATTCTAAAAATCCTACTCGTAATTTCTAGGATTTTTCAAATCTTAAGGATCCCAACCGAGATTTCTCGAATCCTTATTATTTTTCTCTTTTTTTTAATTTCTTTTATTTCTGTTATCATGTATTAATAAAAATTATGTATATAAGTGACCCGAAAATTGCTTCAATAAAATCATCTCAAGTTTGAGACAATTGGAAAACCCCTAAATAACTCCCCCCAATAATAACGAAACTGCTACTATAAGTCAAGTAAATCGTCTCTTGACTTATTAGAAATCGGAACTGAGATAACGTACTATGTGACCCCGAAGACCAACCAACTAGGATAATCCAAGAATAGCCCTAAAACCCAGACCAAATCTTCCACGCCCTCTTTCGAAGCCTTCCATTTAGGGTAAAATTAGATTAAAGTTATAGTTAGACTCGATCTATTGTGTGATATATATTCCGATCGAGTCCTAACTAAGAACAAGTCTCGACTTCTACATCGTACACGGCTTTAGTGACTACCTTAATTGGAATGTTGTGCGATATAAAGTAATGCCAATGGTCATTTGCAAAATCCAGCGATTATTGAATTTGGCTCAGGAAAATCCGGCAGTTAATACAGACACTTTTACAACTGGGCATTTTAATTGGTAATAGAATGGCAATGAGGGGGACGTTATCAAGAATAGAACATGCAATATGTAAATGTACCACGCTTTAAACGACCCCTCGATTAGTATCTTATTATTGTCACGAACTTTGTACGATTCATAGTTCAGCTTTCCTAATCACAAATTAGATAATTTTTTTGGCGAATACCACTAAGTCTAATCTAATCTAATCATAATACTACAATATTCAGGTGACACAAAATTTAGTGTCTGCTCTGGTTAATTTGTTTTTTTGGCATTACTCAAGAAATTCAATACTTCACTCAGTTTATTAGCTGAATCTTACTGAATAAAATATTAACCTACTCAATAAATTCACTAATGTTACAGAGAAAAATTTATCATAATTATTATTTAAACTATGACGTAATTTAAATGCAACCTAATTTAAAATATGGTAATACACTATTCAACATCCGTATCATTTCACCGACAATCATTTTATCGACAGCTCATTTAGCCGACATCACACCAAGTGACAATTTACTAAAAATATATACCTGAAACTAATAAAACCCTAACCCTAACCCCATGTGATGTCGGCTAAATGAACTTTCGGTGAAATGACTGTCGGTGAAGTGAGCGGCACCGCATCTATTTAGACTTGAAAAATAGTTGTCAAATTTATCTTTTCTAATCTTTTTTATAATAAATAGGAAAATTCTATTCTAAGTAAAATTCTCTGGATTATGAATTATTTTTTTGCACAGTAAATATAAAAGTTCTTTTGAAGCAAATATTAATAATAATTCTATAGATGGGATATTTTTACCAAAAAATTTTTGTTAAACGTATATAATGTTCATTATGCTCTATAATTATTTCTGTTGTTTAAACTATGTTAAACATATAAAGTAAACTGATACATTCTGGCTTTAGAATAACTAACATGTAATTATTAGATTTCAGAATACTTAAAAAACTAATTCATCTTTTTGATTTATCATAATTAAATTAAATATTATTTTATTTTAAATTCAAATTTTAAAAAAAAATTACCAGTTTTATAATTAAAATAACTTAATTTTTTTTTTCAAATTAAAGATTTTTTCTAAAATCTTGTTATAATAAAATAAAATAAAATATTATTTGATTTGATTTAATTTTGTTTATGCCGTGGTGACAATTAACATTTTTGGTATTTGTAGTTCCAATGTTCGACCACCTAAATTTTAGCATAATACAAGAAATAATTAAAAGTCACAATGTAATACGTAATACCGGTAACAAATAATTTGAATTAATATATAAAGCACAATTTTGAGAAGCTATAAGTAACTTTGATTAAATATAATCACTTCAATAAATAAGCTGTGTGGATTTATCTTGTACTTCAAACTGTGCGTTAGATGCTAGTTAGGAGAAGTCGAGCAAATATAAAAGATCTGAAGTTCAGAATAGTTGTTAACCATTACGAATAAAAATGAGGTCTTTAGCACTATGAGAGCATCGGACGTCATTGAAAAAAATAATAATTTAAATTTAATTATTATTATGCTCAAAAAGACCGTCACTACAACTATAATTAGAAGTTCAGAGTTGATAAACGCAAATCCAACATTTCTGAGGAAAGTGATAGTCGATTAGAAAACATGACCAGAGCCTCTTTAAATTCTCAGCGAAAAGCTATTTGATTGTTTATGACTTCTAATAATATCATTTCAACAGAATCACTTTGCTTTACTTTATACATTCGATCAGGCCATCTTCTCCATAACAACCAATTGCACCAATTATGTTTCAAATATAAAGTGTAATAACTTCATTAACTTAAATTAGTAATCAAAAAAAAAATTTGTTTGTAACTTAAAATCCATTTTTTGCAAAAATAGTTAATATAAAAAAGGAACTAAAACGAAAAGGGTTTTGTGTAAAACATTTATACGTACCGAATCATTGTTTACTAATTTATCAATAAACTAAATTTCCTATTTAGGATATTTTCCGCAAAACGGTAGTATTTTAACGGTTTAATTGGTTCTTTTTTTTTTTGTTCATTTCAAATTTAAATAACATTCAATGGTTATTATGCGCATGAAATGCATAAGTGACAGTATATAGCGATAACTTAAAAAAATTCGAATTTAATTATGTAAAATTTTTAATCGAACAATTTTGAATCACCAATCTTTCACTGTATGTACCTCTATTCTCGTAATTTATTAATATGTACCACAACTTACCAAATACAGTATTTTTACAATAAGGCATTCTAAGTTCTACATATAATTTTGGCGCTGAACTAGAATATGTATTTGGAGTATACGTAAAGCGTACATTTAGAGAGACATATTTAGAGAATTACCATCTCACAATCTCATAATTCTAAAATATTGTAAATCAGTAATTACAGCAAGATACGATGAAATAAGCTAAAAAAAAAACAAAAAAAAAAACAAAGAATAATACAATATGTTTAGATTGTGTTACATGCAATTCCTTCAAGGTCTAGGATTGATTGATAATAGAATAAAGATTTAATTCAAAATTTTTTGAAACAATATAAAAAGATTATGTTGACACAAAAAAAAAACAGCAGCAATTCACAGTACAACCTTCTTATGATTACATGCATATTGAAGGCTTAAATAATAAGCTACACATGCACGGACAATTTATTTGTTTATTATATATAATCGTCTAAGTGAAGTGTTGTTATCCTTTACTTTATATAGGATAAACGATAAGCAGATAGTTAAAATTAAATATTTAGTTGCCGTTTCTTTTCCATAAAATTTGTTATTAATTTACATTTAAAAAAAATGGTTTCTTCATATGACCTCCTAGGGTAAAGAATTTTTATTAACGTTTTTTATCTATACGTAATGTAATGATTAATTTATTCATACAAGAATTGCATTTGAAATAGCTATCGAACCTATAGAGTTGTAAAAATTCAAGAGTAAGCATCTATTACAACATTATTTGTGTTCTTTATATAATATAAAAGACTAAATAGCAATGACCAATGTTATTAATCAGTCGTCGATTAGGGGTCCTTTATCGACTATTTCAAACTATGATTGTTCTATTTCTTATAGCAAAAGTTATAATGAGTGAACTTTATCTCAAGAAGGTATTGCCTTTTAATATGTAATAATACAGAACCACTTGAAATCATTAATAATGAAAAGACAACAAATATTCTATTGAAAATTATACTGTGTTTATCAATTATCAGTGATCAAAGTGGTCCCGTTTTTTTTGTGAATAAACACATTTAATTTTTAACATACTAGATTCTATTTTATGTAGGAACCTCCTGTACCTGGTGCTGTACGGATAACATTACAAGCTCCACCTAACTTTATCATACCTTCATATTGTATTGGTGGGCCTTATCCGTGTGTTTTTTGGGGTGCTAATGAAAGTAAATATTATCATATATAATTATATTAATTTATCAATATATATATATTTTTGATAATTAATACTATTAATACTTTAATATTAATTTTGTGCAGTTCGATTTCCTGACGATGGTTCTGGTGTTGCGTTTTTCACAACAAGAGTAAGCGCAACAAATTACGCGCCACCAGCTGGATGTAACTTCTTAGCAGCTCAATCACCGACGGATCCATGTTTTCTAAATCCAGATTCCCCAAGTTCAAATATCCGTAATACTACGCTTATTCCAAAATCTTTTATTGGTGATGTTGAAGATTTCACTGTATGTAACAATTTTTAAATAATGCTGACCAAAATAAAATTTTTTAATGGATATTAAAATGTTAGAAAATAATCTGTAGTTTAAATAAAATATTCATTAATTAATATTGGTCTCGGTTATCAATAAATCAGCTTTAAAAGATAATTTTTAATAATTAATTTTAGGTGATGATAGAACATTCAGTGAGAGGACAGCTCACAGACATTGCAATTCGTAATGGTGTATTGGATGGCAAACTCATGTCTTCTAATGGTAAAGTTATTAAAACAATGACGAATGCTACAAGAGTAAGTAAATAATTTTTAATGGTTTTTTTATATTTTATTTATTAAAATGATTTTTTATTAAATAAATTTTCAATTAATAGATGGCCCAGAATCCTAATGCTGATGGTGATATTTTTCCTCTTAGTCAAATCCTTTTAGCAGCTGGAGCAGATTTAGATTGTATAATATCAATTTTTAATCTATTATTATAAGACTGTAATAATAATTTTAACAATAATAATATAATTATTTTTTAAATATAAAAAGCTTCATCAACGGCTCCTGGAGCTAATAAAGCCGTACATGAAACTTACAGAACTTCTGGAATAGTAATTGTTATTATAATCGAGTATAAAAATGAGGTGATTTAAATTGTATTAAATTATTCAGAAACATTATTTTATATATACATATTTATTTAACATAAAATTATTAACTTTATTTTAATTAGAAAGATAAAATAACCTATCAATACATACCCCAAGTTATTGATGGAAATGAATATAAGACTGTTGAAAAACGTTATAATGACACTAATGGCTCTGTTACTTTGGTTGATAGGCATGGGTAAGTGTTGAATGTTAACATCTATTCTTTATTATTATTAATATTTAATCTACAATATATTTATTATTTATCAATAGTATTCGTCTTGTTTTCCAACAACATGGATCTATTGGCCAATTTGATGGGATTACTCTTCTTACAAATATTGTTGCTTGTCTTGCACTTTTCGTAAGTATTAACATTTATGATTTTATTACCATCTATAATTGAATTATTTATTTATTTATTATCTCTGGATTTTGTTCATATTAGAAATTTGCTGAATTTCTAGTTGAATTTCTTATGTTATATATTCTTCCTGAGAAAGAATTTTATGGATATGCAAAATATGAGGAGACAGATAGCTTTGATGATTGGCGTGATAATAAAAAAGCTCATAAAAAATCTCAAACACAAAAATCAGTAGAAACTAATGATGTTACTGGTCATGCTAATACTGGAGGTTATGTTAATACTGGAGGTTATGTTAATACTGGAGGTTATTCTAATACTGGAGGTTATTCTAATACTGGAGGTTATTCTAATACTGGAGGTTATTCTAATACTGGGGGTGTTTATACCAATACAATTCCTAATGCTTACTACGCCAATAACAATAATAATTACTATCCGAATTAAAATACAATACCTTTTAATTATTTAATTTTTCGGCAATTTTTGGTTGCTCAACATGATATATAGTTTAACAATTTGCATATAAATTTTTATAAATATATTTATCACTAATTATAACATACAGCATTTGACAAATAAATTATTTTTAATTAGCATAAAAATGAAGTTACATTCAGACCTCCTAAACCAATTATTTTAATTTACACACTCTTTGAAAGCCTTCTTTAAATGTATTCTATACTTTGATTCATACCTTGTAGATTTTTACTTCTCAATGATAGTAGGCGGCAAAAGTAACGCCCGATTTTTCAATAAAACGGAAATTACAAATTTATTTTATTTTTGCGCTATGTATATAAAAATTTTTTATTATATTTAACTAACACACTATTAAGCGCACTTGGACATTCAATATTAACGTGATTCTTTGTGGCGTTAAGCCACAACTACCTAAAGAACAAACATATTAAGATTAGTTCACTTCTTTAAAACAGCTCTGTGATCATTCCTGTTTTTTAAAAGACATTCATACTTTTAGATATTGTTTCTTAATGAGTTTTAATTGTTTGAATAAGTTTAGGTTATTGGGACTTTTCTATTCATGTTGTAATTCAATTTTTTTTTATTTTAAGCTATTTTATACCTTTTTTTATAATATAAAATGATAGTTATTACAATAAAACTTTAAATTACTTTAATTAACAAATATAAGCATAAAATAGAATAAAATAGTATTCAAAAACCTTAGTATAAATTTTTTTTTATTAATTTTTTTATTTAAATTTTAAATATTTATAAAAAAAATATATTAATTACATCTACTAAAACCTTCATATCATTATTCAAATTCATATGTTTCTAAAATTTGATACTTAATACCTATCTTTTCATCTTTTTATTATATAATACCATAATCTAACTTACTAGATTTATTTGTTTATTTTCTTTTTTTTGTAAAAAAAAATATATATATATATATTTGCTTATATATATTAATTTATATTTTTTCTTTATATTAAATTTTATATTTAATTGCATTATTATTTGTTGAATATAGCTCTTTGTTAAAATATATATATATATTTGCTTACATATATTAATATATATATATTTTTTTTATACTGAATTTTATATTTAGTTATATTATTATTTAGTAATTATAGCTCTTTTATTTAGAGATAGTATCTGTATAAGAGTTATTTAGATGAAGATTACATGTATAAAAGTCATTTAGATGAAGATTATATGATTTGAATTAATCAAAATTAATAATTTTATGTAACTACAAAGAATTTTTAGGATCTGTATCATTTTACTAACAATCATTTTATCAACAGCTCATTTAGCTAACATCACACCAAGTAACAATTTACTAAAAATATATGCCTGAAACTAATAAAACCTTAACTCTAACCCTATATGATGTCAGCTAAATAAACTTTTAGTGAAATAACTGTTAGTGAAATAGGTAGCACCAGAATTTTTATGTACTACAAAGAACTTTGCAATATATACAAGTATAATTTTTTTAAAATATTTTATTTATTAAACATTTTACTATTATAAAGAATATATTTTATTCTATATTATGTTAAAATTTTATAAAAATTAATCTATATATCTTCTATTTTTAAAGATGATGCAGATTTATCAGATAAAGCAGCATTACACATGTATATCTATATGCCTACTACAACTAGTTTTTTGGCCAATTAGTGCTATTTATATAAATAATCAGATGTAATATTGAAATTAAAAAAACCAAGCATTTTTAAAATTCACTGTATCTTGAAAAGTTGTTTATGAAATTAACTTTTATGCTTTAATAAAAAAAGTTTTCTTACAAAATTTTAGTATATTTTCTCATCTATAGTTCTAATCCTAACCCTAATTTGAATTAATGTTAATTTTAGAACACATTTTTAATACTATAATCAGTGATGTACGTGAACAGCCTTTGGACACGATTTTGGACATTTTGAACAAAAAAATAAAGTAAATTTACTCAAAAATTTATTAAGATAACCTATTTAAATCTTTTAAGCAAAAATGTTTAGAATTAAATAAAGAATATAATCATATAATTTTTATTTCTATTACTAAAATATTTAAGGCTATGGACAGCATGGACACTTGAACGTTTGGATACAACACTGACTGTAATAACAGCAATAATGATCATTTTTAAATTGAGCGATGGGTACATAGATGTACTCGCGTATCCCTTAAACCGTCAGGCAAATTTGGCTACTAAAATTTTATAAATTTATGTTTGATCTACTTTTTTTAATTATTAAAATATTTAAAAAAAATATTTTTTTAAATAAAAACTACAAGTATATGTCATTGTTTAGTCCCATGTTAAAAGTAAAGGCTTAAAGGCATAAATCCGTACACAGTGAACTACACTATACAATATGCTCATTTCTATATATCAATTAGAAACATGCTTAAAAGAGGTATTTAAGTTTATATGTAACAACTAATCTTATTGTTTTAAGTCAAAAATATGCTAATTATGAATACTTACTGGTATGCTTTAAATCTTTAAAGGGAGAAATTTCTGTTTTAGTCATATTCTGTGCAATAATGGTAGACATAAAAATTGAAAGGGTGAAAAGAAGCCACTTAGTAGACATACTATGCAAGTATGAATTACATGAAATCGCATGTGCGCTGGTTTATGGTGGGTCTTACACATACGATTTGGATCTAACAGTTAGTTATATGACCGGCCATGTCTGGATAATACTTTTAGCTATGTTGGGAACTTCCAGAGAAGAACAACAGGGTACCAATAGCCTTTTTGAATACCATACTGGAATTTTCAAATTCGATAGCTTCCATATTTTCGAAAAAAAAAATAATAATCATTAATTTTTGCTTCAGAAAATAATGTTATTATGCAACTATCTGATATAAATGATGAACCCAAATAATTTAAAAAATATTGGCTAGACAAACGTAATTCTATGCCATGCTTTTTAAGCAATCTCACTTTAAAATTATTCGAAGATAAATATGGTTCTGTTGAATTACAATCAGTATAACTGGTCAAAATTTGTAACTGGAACGAGGGTAAAAATTGTCACCTGAAATACTGCGGATACGATGTTACACGATCCAGAAAAATTTTTACGATTACATATTTTTTTACTTTTCTTATCTGTATTATTCTTGTTGCCTGTTTATAATAGAAAATGTGTATATAAAAGTGTACAAATTTTTACCACAATAAAGATAAATTGCCTTGAGTTCAATAATTCGAAAATCTAATAAGTAGAAGTCTTTGAGTTCCAAATAGCTGTTTATCAAAATCAAATTTTTAAAAAAATCAAAATCCCAATCCGAAATACAAAAATTATTCCAAATCCAAAATAGATCACAAATGATTCCAAATTTCAAATTGATCACACAAATTCCAAAGTTATGATTTTAATTCCATTCACTTATATAAGAATGTGTTGAAAAATTTCTTGTGGTCATATGAGTAACTGACAAAGGTGTTATATTACGTTCAATTTTCATATGATTAGTATACGATATATAAACCAATCAGATTACGAACTTCCATCTTGCTCAAAATACCCAGAGAATTTATCGTTATAGAAAATTTATTTTCGGCCATAAAATTATCCAAAATTATATACAGTATATGCGTGCGAAGTTACACGAAAATACGTCATAAATGTGATTGGTGTACTAAAATACCAACCAATCAATTTTTTGTATAACTTACAATTCATAAAAGTCGTAAAATTGCAATATCGATCGATTACTCTATCTAATCTTTTCGAAATTTCAGGGTCAGATGAAATCTTATACAATACGTCTGAATCACAACGTATATAAATAAAAACTTTATTATATTAATAGTATAAAACCTCATTTATACTAATATCCAATACAAGGATATTATTACTAGTATCATTTTTAGCATTTTAATAAAATAAAAATAAAAATAACGAATTCTCTGTGTAACAAATACACGCGAACATAGTCTTATTCATATAAAATATACGATTAACTTGTGCTTTACTTTGTTATGACTAAACGTTATAAATACATTTGGTGGATAAATAAATGCCGAAATTTGTCCAGAATCTATTGAGCCCTAACTTAAATCAGGCCAATCCTAAATTAATATCGAACTAACCTTAACTGGTCAGTAAATCAATTACTCTAAAAAAGCAGTATTTCTAATAAATATGGCAGAGTTATTTTACTGTATAAACCCATTTAATACAGCTAGTAAATTCATATATTATTTATATATGAACTGAATGCTACTAATGTAATATCTTTTCTAAACATCTTAAATTATACGGACAAATAAGGTTAATGCCATTATATTAATCCTACAAAAAGACCAAAGTTTTTGAGTTTGTTGCTTAACTGACTTTGCTCCTGAAAATCCGATTAGCTACGATTGATAGGTAATTAATTAAATGAATCTGAAAAATAATTAACTTAAACCAACTGGTTTTTTTCTGTAACACTCATATATTGTATGTTCTTCCAAGTATATATGCATAGTCTTGATTCCAATCGTTAATTTTTATAGGTCTTTCTAAATATGTTATTTCTCAGGGGTTTTCTTCATCAGTCCGAAACGAGGAATATCAAGATAGTTAGAATAACTTTTATGATTTTTTCTTATACCTTGGTGCTAACCTATTTGTTATGGAAACTATACGAGCTCAGTAAATTGGATAAAACGATAATTTATACGCGAAAAAAATATTCAACTATTCCAGCACCAAGTAAAAACATTTGTTTAATATTCATTCAAAAAGATAATTTTTTATTTTAAAAATAGTAAAATAATTCTTTAATATGTCGATAGATGTATATATCGGTTCTTATAAAAATTTTACTATAGAGTGTGAATATACTTATGGAGGTGAATATAATAAATGCTGAAGTACTTACCCGGATTTCTATGCAATTAACTTATAGTAATTTCTAATTTAAGGGCACATCAATATTGATAGTAAATCTGATTGCAGTCAAAAAATATCAAGAATATATAATTCGACATTGTTATTTCCTTTTGTAGCAATTTTTAAATCAAATTTAACTTTAATAAGTCACATAGAAGATAATGCAGATAGTATTGATTTCTCTATAAATAGTACGGGTTCATTGAGTATGACCTATATTAATTTTAATTTTAGTACAAACCAAACAGGCTCTACTCGAATTCAGGTATTTGAACCAGGCAAGTTATAAATTTTCATTGATCATTCATAAGTTTCTTTGAGTATTCTACTGTTAAAATAATAATAATTTTATAGAAATGGATATAATAAGAAATAATCGAACTTTATTGGACTCGATTTCTAAGGAATCTTCAGACTTTATAGATGATTTAGAATATTCGAATACATATCTGGCTGGACCGGGCAATGTGTGAAAAATTTATATTTTTCTTTGAGCAATTATAATAATTATTAGCTGTTAAAATAATTTTGTACTTTATAGTCATATTTTTTCAGATTCACCAAGCAAATCCGTGATGTGCTTATTAATCCGCTGGAAAATATGTTCTCTTTAAGTGCTAAATATGATATATTGCCATATATTATTTCAAATCTAGGTAGATATTGAAAGACAATAGAAAGTAATATATTATACTTCAAATCTAACAATAAATAAATAATTCTTATTTAGCAACCACCTCTACGCCAAATGTAGGAAACCATTCCACTCTCTCAATAGGCTGCATTTCAACTACTGTCGAAACAGAAAAAGAAAAATTGTAATATATACAGTATTTTATTAATTTAATTTTACCATTCATAGTTTTCTTATATTCGAACATACTGTATCAATCTAGAATTTCAACACTTTTTGACGTGTGTGCCTTTGCTGGTGGCTTGTTTACATTGGTTACTTCAATTAATGTGTTATTATTTGGTGAGATTATTATTTTGTGTAACTTTTTAATAGGGTAATACTTAAAAATACCCTTTTTTTTTTTACTGTAACAGGCGAAACTATTAGAAACCCGTGGGGAGTTGTACATATTCTTTCATGTTGTGGAATTAAACGGAATGTACAAAACACCCTTTATGACTATCTGAAAGATCAAATTCCATTTGCCGATGAAGGTGCTCATTTGGAATCACCTCCTGAAAAAATTGAAGATCGAGTAAGAGCAATCGAACAACGGCATAGAGCTTTAGAATTCCTTCTAAGAGATTACGTTATTAATGTTGACATTCTTAATGATAAAGATGTTAACAATAGATTTTATAAATATACAAAAATTAAAAATGAAGAAATATCAAAAGAGGAATAAAGGGAAAAATGGAAAATCTTTAGCATTTTTATTAATTTCTCTCATAATTTATATTACCGGTATTTAATTCTTATGTATCGAGATCATTAACATACTAATAGTATAAATTTTCGAAAATTAACAATATATAATTGAATTTACAGTAGAACTGTTCATAAGACAGTAAAACATATAAGTGAATAATAAAATCTTAACATATGATAGTAATGTTAAGCTCAAAACCAGTTTATATAAATTCCTCGATTAATGAATTATATTTTACTTCACTATAAAAAAAGAATGAATGAATTCATATAATGCTTTTAGTATCAAAACTTTATTATTAAACTAGGCACTTGAACTGTTAAAGGGAGTTAAAAATGAGTGTATTATAATGTATTACATAGGTCTACTGTATTACATATCAGATTTAGTGAATTTTTATTGAGTAATACGAATAGTAGTGGTGTATGGTAAAGCAAAGTAGTGATGTATAATACATTAAATAAGCAAGTACGTGTGTATAGCTGATATCATAACTGAGTATTATAACATATTATGTATACTGTAGTATGATAATCTATTCATATAATTCAATTCCGAGTTGTGCGCTTTAACATTTTTGATTGGAGGTGTTGGGAAAATGTGATCTAAGCATGTGAAAAAAAATAAATCAATTTGGGTTTACTGCGTACAGTATGATGTAATGTAATCTTTAACAATCACAATTGGTTGTCCTAAAAATATGATAAGAGAATGTCTCAATACGTAGATCGTATCTAAATTCCAAAAAAAGAAAAGGTATAGATTGTACGTACGTATTATATGAAATTAGATTTTTATGTTATACTAGTTCAAAAACCTGTGCTCTACGCGAAGTATGAAAATTTCAATATATTTATTATAGCTGTTTTCAAATCAATGTATCCAGCTAATTTTATGATTAAATAAATTATACTCACGAAGAGATTTTAATTCTACTGATTAACGTTAACAAATCATCTTTATACTCACAGATTAAATTAATATAAACAAAAGAAAGTAATTAATTGTAAATGAATATTTAGTGATAAATATTTATGAGTAAGTATTTATGTTTATATCTTTAATTTTACTGATCAACGTTAATAAATTATCTTTATATCTATAGGCTAAATTAATGCGAATGAAAGAAATGATTTGAAGGGTATTAGGCAATTAATTATAAATAAATATATAGTGATAAGTATTTATATTCATGATATTAATAAAACTGTTTACGTTAATAAATCATCTTTATACTCACAGACTATTTGAAGGGTATTAGATAATTAATTGTAAAAAAGTATTTAGAGATAAGTATTTATGAATAAGTATTTATGTTCATAATTTTAATGAAACTAATTAACATTAATAAATCATCTTTATGCTCACAGACTATTTAAAGGGTATTAGGTAATTAATCATAAAAAAGTATTTAGAGATAAGTATTTATGTTCATAATTTTAATAAAACAGATTAAATAATCTTTATACTTATCTATTATTTGGAGGGTATTAGTATTTAGTAATAAGTATTTATGAAAAAATGTTTATATTTATGATATTAATTATACTGATTAACTATCTTAATACTTACATATTATTTGAAAAGTATTAGGTAATAAATTGTAAACAAGTATTTAGAGATAAATAGATATGAATAAGTCATCTTTATATTCACTGACTGAAGATATTAGATAATTAATTAATTGTAAATAAGTATTTAGTAATAAATATATATGTTTATGATTTTAATAAAACTAATTAATGTTAATAAATCATCTTTATACTCACAGACTAAATTAATTTGAATAAAATGATTAAAAGATATTAGGTAATTAATTCATTATAAATAAGTGTTTAGAATTAAGTATTTATGAATAAGAATTTATGTTCATAATTTTAATGAAACTAATTAATATTAATAAATTATCTTTATGCTCACAGACTATTTGAAGAGTATTAGATAATTAATCATAAAGAAGTATTTAGAGATAAGTATTTGTCTCTAAGTATTTTATTCATAATTTTAATAAAACTAATTAAATAATCTTTATACTCATCTATTATTTGAAAAGTATTAGATAACTAATTGTAAATAAGTATTTAGTGATAAGTATTTATGAAAAAGTGTTTATGTTTATGATTTTAATTATACCAATTAACTATCTTAATATTCATACATTATTTAAAGATTATTAGATAATAAATTATAAATAAGTATTTAGAGATAATGTAACAAACTGCTAACTCATGCCCCAACTCTAGGTCACATAGGACCCAAAGTACTCGATTCTAAACCCAGTACCTTTGTATAACAAGTTATAAAAGGTAATCTCATACAAAACATATAAGGGTTACATTAGTTTCATTTATTATT